TAACTGCTTTTTTAAACAGAGCCTTAAGGAGACCACTTTTGACAATCCAGGTGGTATGATTCGGGCACCTTCAATATTCACCAATATTGAGAGATGATTATCACAATATGGTTATTTAACATACCCATTACTTCACATATTCATGTGTGTATTGTGTGCGTGTTGACTTTTCTCCTAATAAGACACATAGGACTTTTCTCCTAATAAGGCTGGCTTGTATACAAGAAGTTTATTAACTATAGTCACCATCTTGTATGTTAGATCCTCAGAACTTATTAATCTCACAATTCAAAGTTTGTACCCTGTGACCAACATCTCATTTCACATACAACCCTAGCCTCTGGAAAACAGCCTTCTACTTTTTGTTTCTATAGGGTTAGCTTTTAGAGCCTACTTATAAGTAAGATCATACAGTATTTGAATTATTTCACTTAGTATAGTGGCCTTGAGGGTCACTCATATTTATCACAAATGGCAGGGTATACATCTTTTTATGGCTGAATAATATTCCATCATAGATCTATAATACATTTACTTTATCCATTTATCCATATAGACACTTAAAGATTATTCTATATGTTGACTCTTATGAATAATGCAGCACTGAACATGGGGATACAGGTGTCTCTTTCAGATATTATTTGTTTCCTTCAGATATATACCCAAAGTGCGATTACTGGATCATTTGGTAGTTTGTTTGTTCATTTTCAGGATCCTCCATACAGGTTTCCATAATGGTTGTATGAACTAATTCCTTCTTGAGTTCTAAGGGAAAATCTGTTCCCTTGCCCTTTCCAGCTTCTAAAGGCTACCTACATTCCATTATTTATGATCCCTTTTTCCATCTTCAAATTCAACAGCCCAGAATTATCAGATCTCTGATTTTGAAAATCTGGACTGTCTCTTTTACTTACAAGGATCCTAGTAATTACATTGAGTCCACCCAGATAACCCACAACATCATCCTTAAGCATCATCATCCTTGCAATGTCTTTTCTGACGTGTTAGGTAACATAATTTGCATACCACAAAGTCTACATCAGAATCATTATAAATTGATTTTGATTTTTTAATTCTTATGCATCAGTTCACTTTTGGGTTAACTAATATGTGAGATAAATTAGCTAGAAAATAAGAATAACATTTTTTAATGGAGAGTTTTTATACTATTATTTTCTGTTGAAAGGTATTTATGTTAAATGTTAAAATTCTTTTTATATGAATGCATTTAATGATAGCTGGGTAACAATAATAAGCTGATAACATTCTGTCAGTAGCAATATTTTGATGAGTCAAATTTTTTTTGTTGTTGTTGTTTTGTTTTATTTGTTTGTTTGTTTTGTGGGACCCTCGCAGCTGGGGAACGAACAGGCACTGCAGAGGCTGCGGGCAGCCTCACAGCCCAGCACTCAACCACTGCACCACTAGGGGAGGCCCTTTGATGAGCCTAATTTTTATTGAAACTGTATTTTATATTAAAGAAATTACCCTTGGCAGCATATGTTGCTATTATTTGCCTCATTTTTAAAAGAAACCTATTAAAAATAACTCAGTTAGATAAGAATTTTTTCCTTTTTATGTATTTATAATATGCACAATTTAACCTAATAATTCAGACATGTTTGAATTTCTCAAGCTACTAAATATATAGTTTTTTTTCAATATACAGATTTTTCTTTGTAAAATTGAAGGGCTAATGACTAAAACTGCTGTGACTATTCAATGAGATGAGACATGTAAAACTATAGTACAGTTGTAACCCCTAAGGATGTCTGCAATAAGTTTGTAGCCTAATTACTTCACTAGATTTGTTCACTAATATTGAAATATATTTCTATAGACACTGTAAGTTATTAATACTATGGATGTTGATTTTTGCTAATCTTACCAAATTTACATATTTGGTTGCTCCACATAGTTTTTAACATGAGAATTCAGTTCAGAAAAACTCCATTTAATTAAATATGGTGATTTGTATTATAATTAACTATTCAGCCACATTATTACAAGAGTACACAAAATGAAAACATTTTAATCTCTATTTAAATGTACCAGTAAATTGTGAGGAAAACTTTATTGATTTCAGATATTCACTATACCACATTCAAGGTTAAAATTAAGCTATTCAAAAGGTCACCTGAAATCAAATCTAGAAGTTGCCAGCACTTTATGAAAGTCACAGGGCCTCCCTGGTGACCTAGGGGTTAAGTCTGAGTGCTACTACCATCTACCAGGACAGCAGAAGGTCTGCCTGTTCTGCTCCCCACTCTGTCTCTGGTGAATCCTCTCATGGCCCCCTCCACCTCTGGCCTATACCCCAGTTCTTCTACACAAAATAAATAAAATCTTAAAATAAAATAGAAGTCACAAAGTAAAAAATTGTCAGTGATAATAATTTACCTACAAGTTGTACCATGTCAAAATTCTTTCTATAATTCTGTTTCTATTTAACTTTTTTCAATTAAGTAATATTCCTGTGCTTTCAGTTTCTATTTTTTGGTGTGAATTTGTCAAATTATCGCCATCATGTGTCCTATGTCTCTCTAAAAGACTATCACATAAGTCCTGCTGGGGTAATTACTTACAAGTTTAAAGGAAAGAGTCATTATTAATACTGTGTTGCCTGTAATGAGTATGCAGGCTCTCTTGCTTGTGCAAGACAGATTTTAGCTACATCAAAGTACAAGCACTTAAATGAGGTATTATGAACAATATCACTTTAAGCTTACTTTAATTTACATTTTTAGTGATTTTTAATGAGATTAGAGAAATGTAAAAAACCATGTCTTCTTATAAAAAAAAACATGTCTTTTTGTATTAGTTGATCTATAACTTTCACACAAATATTTCTTTGACAACACCATTTCCAAAGTCATGGTTTTACATGTCCTTATGGTAAATTCTAGTAGTCATTCAGAAGCTAAAACGACATGCATAGCATTCTACACTCCAAAGCTGAAGCTAAATGCAGATTGAGAGCCAAGATTGAGGGTTTTCTCAATGCTGAAGAGCGGTTAATTTTTAAGTGTTTTCACTTTGTCAAAGCACTCCTGACTTGTGTGCGGCAATCATTGATACTAATGATGTTTATATAGTTAGAATAAAATAGCATGTTTTCTTATCATTTCAGTATCCAATGTCTTTCTTAATTACAACAAGCAAATCTAATTATTTCTTCTGATTAATCTCAATAGCTGAATAATTCCTTTCCTGGCAAAGTGAATCCTAAATGTTTTCATGAGAACTTTTTTTTTTTTAATAAGTACCTGGGCTTGTAGGGTAAATCAAAGAAAATAGATGAACTTCTAGTACAGGGACAACTGTAACAATAAACTAAAAGATTATTTCAATATATTTTTATATGAATTATTATTTTCAACAGAATCTGTAAATCTGAAGCATTTCGAAATCATGTCTTCTTCTCAGCCCCCTCAGCATATCCACTGAATTCTTCTCAGGGTGTTTCTTCCTTTTTATATATTTATTGATGTGACTGTTTTATATCCCTTCATATGCCCTTCATATGCCCAACATTGAGTTCCCACTATTTGCTGGATTCCATTCTAACTTTTTTAGCATATAAACTCCCTTAATCTTCAAGGCAATTGTAACAGGGTGGTCCCAGGAAAGGGGGAGGTTCCCTGCCCCACCCAAGGGAGGGTGGAGCTGAGCAGGAAGAGGAGAAGCTGCAGAAGAGACTGAGAAAGGAAGCAGGATGGAGCCAGGAGACCTGGAGGAGGCGCATGGAGCCTAGAGACAAGTGAAGAAACAGCGCTTGTCTTTTGGTCGTAGACTGGGTGACACAGATGTGGGTGAGACCCATGGGGAGGTGACAATGGCAGCTTTTATCTTGATGTTGATTTTGCTCTTTTCCTTCCGGGCTTGTCCGGTTGTTTGTGACCCTTTTCTGTGGGTCCCCACTGGAAGATGCTTTAGACTTGTAGCAGGCTTTGGGGCCTTGTTCTGGGCCGATCCCATATGGATGGACTTTTACCCACGAGGGGACGGGTAACTTTGGGTGCTTCATTTAGAAACTAGACTCTTTGCCTTACCTGTATTGTTTCCTAGTTTTATTAAAGATCCTTCCCATTAGTCTCATGTGTTTTGTGTTGATGCGGCGGATGGCAGAACCCATTTAGTATAGGCAGGTTTGCGGGGTTTGGGCTGCCCCTCTCCCTGTCCTATAACACAATGACATGGGTAGTACATTATTATCATTAGTTTAGGAGAAGGAAAAAAATTCAGAACAGTTCACTAACCTGGTCAGAGTCACACAGCCTTCAAGTGTCCATGCCTGAGTCCCAGCCTAGCTTTAGAATTACAGGACACAAACCCCCTGGCCTGTCTCTGGAGACCGCTGGTAAATCTCCTCATGATTAGAATCTCAGAGCACCAAGTACTTCTTTCTAACCTTTACCACACTTAAGATAGTCCCTTTTTTCCACTCTTTATTTGGTTAATGGTTGCCCTTCCCACTGTGCCCAAAATATACTAAGAGAATCCAGAGTAGCAGATCAATGAGTAATAGCAACAATATTTATGAAGATTTACCATATGCCAGGCCCTGCATCTTAACCTTCAAATGTTCTATGTGATACATACCAATTTGCCACCATCTAAGAAATGTGGAAACAAAGGCAGAAAGAGTTCAGAGGACTTGCCCAAGGTCATACAGCTAGTAAATGGTAGAGGCAGGACTAAAACTCAGAGGTCAAAGTCCAAAGCTGTGGTCTGAATGATGAAAGAATGGGTTAATGGATACATAGCCTGGAGAGAGGGAAAGCAGTAGGAGGAGATGCTATTTGACTTCAGTGGAAAGGAAGGAAGCAATTGTCTAGGCAGAGAAAATAACAAGTGGATAAGATAATGCAGAACAGTTTGCCTGGAGCATAACAGGTACTCAGTAAACACAAACTTACATCTTTATAGCCATAAATTTAAAGGTCTTGCACGTAGAAGAGTCTTGTTACTAATGCTCTCTGCATAATTCTTTCTTGCAGTGCCACCATGGGCCTTAATTGCCATAGCCATAGTCGCAGTGCTTTTAGTCCTGACCTGCTGCTTTTGTATCTGTAAGAAATGCTTGTTCAAAAAGAAAAACAAGAAGAAGGGAAAGGAAAAGGGAGGAAAGAATGCCATTAACATGAAAGATGTGAAGGACTTAGGGAAGACCATGAAAGATCAGGTAATGTATTCATTCTAGATTTCTTTCTAGATTATTTTATTGAAAATTGATGAATATCTGGTTATTTTATGCTAGATAAGTATAAAAATAAACAACTTCTGGACACAGGTCTTTGTTGCAGAGATGGTTTGCAATCCTTTTCGTCATTAGTCAATATCCCAAAGTGCAATAGGAGCATTTGTTAGGGTTGTCCAACCTCCTAATCACAGAACCAGAAAAAGGCATCCTTGGTCATCAGGGCGATCTTGATGCGTCCAGCATTTCAAAATGATGACTGAATGTTTTTATTATCTGTTTAGCCCATCTTAATTGTGTTTAGAGCTAGGGAAACAAAATAAAGAATATCTAAGTGTTCTCCCTTTTGAGCAGGAAATCTATCTAACATTTTCACTGTTCATAATCACTGTTAGATAACTGAGTTTAACAGCTGTTCAACACACTTGATGAAAGCCACCATTCCTATATCCAGACAACTCAATAATTAGTTCTTAGGAGAACGTGTTATACAGGGCAAGGGAGAGAAATGTGAGCTGGTCTAAAAATCCAGGCAAAATTTTAAAGCATAATTCTTATTTCCTCTCTTAGGGACCATTAAAACCACAGTGCAAGTTATAAAATCCATCTGGCTGGTTATCTTCTTTTGAAGGAAACAACTTCTATTTTTCCTAAATTATTTAGATGATTTGGTTCAGAATAAAGTTTATTATTAAGAGTAATTATAATTATTAAATGCATTTTTCATTTATTTTTTTGAATCATCCTTATTGGATATTTCTGAACACTTAATTCAGAAAAATGTAAATGTAGAAAAATAACTTTTTCAATTATAAATATTTCCCATCAAGTAATTCAAAATTTCTACCTATTCCCAAATAGCAATATATAGTAGTTTGTAGAGGCAGAATAGGCCACTGAGCAGGTTATCTATGATCCGGCAGACGGGTAAAGGAGAGTCCTGGAGCCTTCAGTGGCTTTCTCAGGCTTTTATTGAGCTGTTACATGTACAGCAGTGACCAGGTACATGGCAGGCAGGGGAGGGGTGGGGCGGGAGGGGTTGAGGGTGGGGGCTGGCCAGGAGGCGGGAAGCCCCAAGGTCCCAAGGCCCCAGGCAAGTCTTCACTCTGTGCTTCTCTGGTCCTCTTTCTCCCCTTTTCTCTCCTGCCTGTCTGCTTCCTCTTTCTCCTGCCTCTGCTTTTGCTTCTCTCCTGCCTCTGCTTTTGCTTCTCTCCTGCCTCTGCTTGTCTCCCTTATGAACTCAATATTCCTCCCATGGCCCACAGAAGTAAATAAGACAGTTTGCAACAATATAACAACTGCTGGTGCCCCATCAGGCAGGGCAATCCTAATGGTAGGAGGGCAGAAAAACCTGAAAAACCATTTACTCTACAAGTTTTATGGATTCTCCTTTTAGTATCAATTACTACTAATTGAACTCAAATATGTGGATTTTCTTCGGAACAATTTAATCAGGGAAGACCTTTTTAGCATATTTGTAGTGTCCTTAGTAACCACATACTCAAAGACTAAACTCTCTCCACAGCTTGAGTTTCAAACTTTTTCTCAAAGAAACCTTAATGTCTATTGACACAATTTCACAAAAGCTTATATTAACTTGTCGCTTTTTTGTTTGGTTTCAGAGCTATAAAATGCCATAATGCCTGTGCTCATACCCAAAGAATATTGTCCTGAGCTCAGAAAAACAAGGGTTACATTTTTCTGGAAAAGTCTCTAATCAGTCACAAGAAGTCTATGTATAAATTCAACTACAAATATCCAATAAGGATAGTTCTCTTTAGTTAATTCATTACAAAGAAACTGAAATTTTAAAACTAGTCTTGTTTTATTTCAACACTCTCCGTAGCAAACAGGACTTGATACAGATTTCTTTAAACTGTTTTGAGATTAAGTATAGATAAATGATATTAACTGGATAATCTGTACATGAATTTCAGCTATATCTGTAAAGCAATACTTTGAAAATACCTTCATTTTCGAGACAACAATAAAATTCAAATGTGGTTTTCATGTATCCTAGAATTAACAATTAAAAGCATTGAATAAAGTTAAATGATAACCTTAACATTTCTTTCTAGGACAAGAAATTTCTATTGCTCATTGTGCAATTTGTATGACATAAGATTATCATTTATAGCACAATAGTGATGTTTATCACCCCTGTTATGACCTGGACAAATGACCAAGGTGCAAGGAGTGAAAACAGAAATAGTTAATTTTTCAGTGATCACATACTCTTGCAAATAGGGAGGGGAAGAAAAATTAAAGAGTCAAATGAGAAAATACAAAGATATTAGGAAGAGTTCATAGTACTCTACCCTGACAACATAGCATTATGATTCCAACCACTCAAAGAGTATTTTTGCATTTTAAGTAGATCACTTTGTCAGTATAGGATGGCATGGTTCTTGTTTTATGAGCAATAATTTATGTTTTATTTTATAAGTGTACAAAATGAAATTTGAGCAAATGAAAATAGGCCCCACTGGTAAGCACTTAGTAGTTTATACTACTTTTTAAGGCAGACAAAAGTAGCTAATCATGGCCTCTTTCATTTTATGAAGAGGAAGAATGAAGAAGCAAAATAGAAGGTACAGATTTTAAGATGCTGAGTTACTTCAAAACAGTATAAGCACAAAAGATGAAACTATTCACAAATAATTATCTTTCAAAATATTTTTTAAAAATATAGTCTATGCCGCTCTCATTTCAAAGCAAGACAGATGTGAGAGGCATTTTAGATGTTATTTCGAAAGACATAGAGGCTCTAGGGTAATCAATTAGTTTTTACCATTTCAGTGCATGTAAGAAATCACAGAAATGCAAATTTCAGTGTTCACAGCTACACATCTCTCTGAGGAGATTGTATAACCCAGGGACGTAAAAATATTCTGCAATGGCAACCAAAATGTTAACTCTAGGTAGCGTGTTTATAGAGCATAGGCCATGCATTTTTTAAATGACTTAAAACTTAAAAACACAATGGGAAAATCACTGGTAAAGTCACAGGTCTGCAAAGGTCATTTCTCCATGGTTTTCACTAATGTGTGTGGATATTTTAATTTTTATTTCTTCCTTCTATGTCCTCCTTATCTGTGTTGTATCTCATGACTGTTCTGGACTGTCCCTTGCGGTAGGTTTTCCTCTGCTACTTAGACACCCTAGTCAAAGCTCGGATACATTTAGTGGCCTGGCAGCTGGGGCTCCACAGGCGAGGGTGTACCATTCTGACACACATCAAAAGGCTGAACTAAATTGATTCTTTTTTTAAGATAAAGTGTTCTCATTTTAAACATTACTAACTGATTAAATAGAACAATATTAGAAAGCTCAAGTTTCAAAACCACGGTAAAGAAAGAAAATTCAGTCCCTTGTGCTACCTTTTTTAGTGTCCCTTATCAAATCCAAATCTGAACAATTTAATTTACAATGAACAAATGCTCCTTCTGATGGTTGTGAACTAAGCACCTTTTGAATGTCAAAGCAAGCCAGAAGCATGTACACTGACTCTGAAATTTAAAACAAGGTCTGACTTTCCCAGCACAGCTATTTCAATTGCAATTTATCAAGCTCTCTGAACTGCTGGGTTTACAAGCTTTTATTTTTTTTGTATTTTGTTCTGGGGGAGAGGGGAGAATATATTCCTCTCGAGGTATTGTAATAGCTACTGATTTAATAGGTCTGAATTTAATATGATGGTACAGAAAATGTCTTGCTTAAGCTTAGCCTTTGGACAAGAATAGACTTAATCAGTGATGAATAGTGGCACTGAGAAATTATCAAAAATTTAGCCCTATTTCATGCAGAATAATTGCAGAGATGGTCTTGCACCTTTTATTAGGGCAAAAACCACTTAGGGAGAAGGAGATTTAATATCTCAGCTATTTCAAATTGCACTGGACTGAAACATGATATGTAAATTTTCAATTTTGAAAAAGACTTCTGAAACAGTATTTTAATCGATCCTTTGTTATTATGATAGAGAAATGTGCAGATTTTTTTAAAAATATGTATTAGTTTGATATTTAAAAAGAAAAAAACTAAAATATTACAAGGGAAGAAGTTATCTATGCTGCAATTTTCTAAGCACATCTTTTAGGACCATGTTAAAGACATATACACAGTTAAGGTTTTGAAAGGGCAATAGGATTCCACTGCATAAAGTCCTCTAAGTAAATTCAGTTTTGTCACTTTACTACTATGTTCCTTTTGATGACACTCTAAGTTCGAAAAAAAAACTAATATAGATTTTCAAATAGTTTTGCTGTTTCTTTTGCTATCAGTGCATTAACACTTTACTACTTAAGGAAACATCAAAACATCCAAGGGTAATTAAACTTTCCAAATTAAAAGGTATGTAGCTAACCAGATTTGCAAAAGTCTCTAAATAAAATGTAATAAGGATAATTTTCCATTTTCCAAATGTGTTGCAAGTTCCTTGAAATTTTCAAGAAACATAAAAGGGGAGGTACCTCTGCTTATTGTTGAATTCTGTTTTTACGATTTTTCCCTTCCAAATGAATTCTGCCCAAGTGTCAGCTTTTAAGACTCATTTCAGAGTTAGCTAGGTAGAGCCATATTGGAAAATCTTGTCACTCTGAGGACTGGGGTACTATTTTGAGATACCACTGAGGATCTCTGTGAAAATGGATGAATGAATAAAGACGCTTGCTTTTGGCAATGAAAAAAAAACACGTAGTGTGAGTGGGGAGGAGAGTGAGTATAGGAAATGCAGGTAGTCTGACTCTGATGCCTTTCTGAAGCCTGTTTGTAAATCTAGCATTTGAGTTCTACATGAACTTTAGAATTCAGTTTAATTGCTGACAAGAGTTTAGTTAAGAGTTTCTTTACTGTCAGATATAAAGCAGTCTACCATTCACATGTCTTGATTCCTATAAAATCTTGTAGACAAATACACACAGACACACACATACATAATGAAAATGCCATAACCAAAAATTAGAAGACAATTATTACCATATATAATAATGATGGAAAGGTTGAGACCACTCAAATAGAGTCTCTACAAATCAGTAAGAGTCAAACAATAGAAAGATGAGCAAAAAATGTATATGCACACAATCTTAACATCAAGATATATTTAAATCTTTCAACCATCACTAATGGCCAAGGAAAAGGACATCTTATTTTTAATTTTGAATATCTCTATAAAGTTTTAATATTTTGTAATTTTTAAAGCAGTAAATGCATATTCCTGGAAAAAAACTATATTCATGACTGTATAACCTTTAGTGTTTTAGTAAACTTCTTGCACTTGCTAGGAAAACGTATTTTATATTTTCATTTTTGAAAAATAAAGAGCATTTGAATATATATTACTCATTTTATGAAATACTGAGCTTTCTAGTATTTCAATTGATATTACAGTTATGTTTTAATTTGTGAAGAATATTCAATTGGTCTGAATTCAGCTTTGAGAGTTCAATACCATGATTTTTGTTCATAAGAGCAGCAAATTATTTTTACTAATTTCAGTTTTTGACAAGATTACAAACATAACTCCTCTCATCTTTTGACAACAAATAGATCTAGAAATCAATTTAATTCAGCCTAGCTTTCTGTGGAGCTGTTATGAAAATGAAATGGTAAACTTAGACGGGAAATGGAGTACACTTTTCTCTAAACATGCATTTGCTGGTGGCATGTTTTTTTCCTCTTTTTCCATAACCATTACAAATGCATATATGAAACATAAGCAATGACAGTTTTCTGAGAACCATCTACTCAACTATCTTTTTTAAGGCAACAAGGAAAGAAAAGGCCAAATATTTTATAGAAATTACTCCGCTGCATGTAACAATGATGTTTTTTACATGATGCTTAGCATCTCTTTAAACTACATGAATGTGAAACCTGGCCTGGTTAATAGCATGTTTATCAGCCCTCTAAATGAAGTAGTTTTATCAGAGCCAACTGTAAGACCAAGTTGACATTTCCTTACAAAAGCCTTACATTTTTTGCTTGCAATTTTCTGAGGGGCTTCTTCCATTGCTTCCATGTTGCTTGCTGACTGGGGGAGAAAATTCCGTGCACAAGTGGAATTTAAAAAATATGTAAGCAGCAAATGTGAATGTGTGTCAGACAAACAGATTTCTAGCATCTTAGTGCTTGCTTCGAACAGCTTGGAAGTATTACCACAGGCCCAGCGGAATTGGGGTTTTGATGAAAATTCATTTGATTTCACATATGATCCATTTCCCTGCTCATAGGCCCTTAAGGACGATGATGCTGAAACCGGATTGACTGATGGAGAAGAAAAAGAGGAACCTAAGGAAGAGGAGAAACTGGGAAAGCTTCAGTATTCCCTGGATTATGATTTCCAGAATAACCAGGTCTGGGGGGGGAAATGTCTTCTAATTCCATTACGTTTTCTGAAATTACCAAGTAGAAATTGAAGCAAGATAACTTCTTAAAACATTTCATTTGCTGCGAGGGGAAAATGCAATTATCAAAGCTATTGATGAAATAATTTCTAAGTACAGGCAGTCCCCTACTTGCTAATTTAACTTCTTGTAATTAGAATTCACAGTATTCAACCGATTACATCTACTTATGGCACTTACAGCAGGCGGGCGGAATACAAATTAACTTGAAGCAGTCAGTCTGATTCCGAGAGCTCCCAGCCTGGCTAGAACAATCTTCCTTGAACTTCATGGATTTAGATCCAGGGCATGGGTCCTTCTGTGTTAGACCACCATCAAAGTCAAAGTTTTGACTTCCTTGATAAGAAATCAAAGGTGAAAAATTTACTATAGTCATGAATTTCAAAGACAGGAATGCCTTATAGAATATCATGGTAAAACTAGGGCTCTTGAGAGCAAATCTACAAAAGTAGAAAAACCAGCAACTTGATCTCTAATGCCTAAGACTGTTACTCCAACATGACAGAGAACTAAAGAAGCTAAGGAAACAGGCATTCCTCCTACAGAACCCATGACATTGATGAAGATGTCTCCTTACCTTCTGAATTGTTAAGAGTTTTAAAAGCTAGGTAAGAATTCCTATGGAATGGTCTAAGTGCAAGATGCTATTCTGAAGAATCCTTAGGACAAAGCCCTTCTTCGAGGAAGGTAGTTTTAAATCGCTCCAGTTTGCTTTGCTTCACTGATCTTTCTAGGTGAGTAAGAAATGATCAACATATGTAGTTACTGCTAATGCAGCATATGTTAGTTATTTCCAGTTTGATAAGAATAAGCAATATATAAATCATACACTAATGCTCAGCTTTGACAACTGATGTCCCAAGTCAGTTGTCAGAGAGAGATCTAAGCAGAAATCCTGGGACTTAGGAATTGACACTTTAAAAAATGTCTTCATTTCCAGAGGATTCCTCTTGAAGGATGCATTGATATACTATGTTATATAAAAAACACTTTATCAATTTCATTATAGCCTGGACTGGTTATTTCATAATATTCTAGAAAATTACATACTGTTTAATAGGCACAAGTTTATATCAATGGATTTCAAATAGGATATTTGGGTATACTTCTATCACTTCTATATAAATTTAATCATCAAGACTTGGTTGGGAGTAAAACTTCCTATTAATTATACATATTCTAGGAAAGGTCAAGGTCAATGTATGTTATCTTAATATATAACCTGTTCTCTAAATATCTACTCTGCCTTCATAAATGTATCCAATATCTTTTTACTCATTTATCCTACTTTCATATTTTCCACTAGACGTCTAGTACCATCTCATCTTGGTTAGTCACAATTTTGAGACTTCTAGGTTGACTTTCAGTAGCATTAAGGCTAATTTATACAAAGCAGTGGTTTTAGTAAATAGCACTGATTTTTTAATCAAATATGAGCGTATTTACTATTCCCTTCCTAGCAAATAAATTTTAAAATATTTCATTCTGAAGATCTAAAACATTCTACATGATGAAATTGTTTAATACTACACATTGATTTTTGCAAAGGTTCACAGATAATTTGATTTATAAAATGATCCCTATGAGTCATAGATGATAAAGTCTAAGAAATTTCATAGATGAGGCTATAATCGAATATATCTTGCTTACCAAAACTAAAATCCTAAAATACTCTGTTTAAGGAGTTTTCATGATAGAAAGAAATGTGATATTTATCTCTAAGGCAGAAGTCAAAGGGGGGTTGGAAGAAATGACCATACCCCTTACCAACAAAATACCCCAAAAAACCTTCAAAATATATATGATCTAGCTTTAAAGAGGTCAGGTTATACTTCTAGGGCTTTAACTATGGAAAAGAAAATTTATTGCAAAAAATGAAGAAAAATAGAATTGTGCTTATTCACCTAAAATCCAAAGGTAAATCCCAAACACCATTTTAACAAATCAAGACAAAAATGGCTTGCTTGACTAATCAAGTCTTTCTAATCTGATGCCTTCTTTAACTAGTCTTTGATTATCTGTGTTTTCAATACTACAACCCAGCATCATTGCTCCTGTTGTATCAGGATGTCACAAAGGTGTTGAAAATTAAAATGGAAACAACATAATCATTCAGGACAGTAGTTTAGGTTAAAAGTAAAACAAATGAGCCAAATGTATTTATGAACACGGTAGATCAGTTTAACAGAAAATGCATGTCACTTTTTCTTAAGGAGGTGATTTGTTTCTCCAGTCTATTGGATAAAAAGTTTCAAGTTCAAATGATCAACTATGATGATCATTTGTCATGATCAACTATGATGTGACTGCATTTGTTGACTAGTGTATGCCTTAAATAAAAGGTATATGCCTTGAACAAAAGAGTCTGCTTTTGTTCCCCAAGGAATCTAAAGCAGTATGTTGATTCAAAACATCTGATGGGAAGCATCTAGTATAGTCTATTTACACCACTTTGTAAAAATATAGGAATATGTCACTGGGAAAACAGACATGAAGTAATAGAGATTTCTACATTATTTGAAAACATCAGATTCACTTGACAGTAAAAATGCTGAAATCCCCCCTTCCTTAAATATGAAGCTAAAATTGTTTCTTTGACGCCATGTCCTGTATTTAAACAAAGAACTTAATAGCTAATAATTTACTATAAGTCAAAACAAAGAAGCACACAAGGTCAAATATGAATAAAATAAGCTATCTACATGTTTCTATATCAAAATGCTACCCAATTTCTAAGGAATTTCTGTTTTGCTGGTCTGAAACTGGTTCAGAAAGAAAAATCCTACTTTATAATTACAGACTTGTGATTGTTTAACAATTTAATTCCACTTACAAATCATACCCTAGAAAGGAAAATAATGCACAAGGGCTTTTAGCAACTGGAAAGTTATTTGATTGCAACTCTTTTGCAAATATGAATTCCATATTTAAACTGTAATCAGCAACCTTTTAAAAGCCTCTTTTGTGCGTAAAACCAGGATCCTCAAGCCTGCATCTGTCATAATTGGGTTTCTGAAATCTATATAGCTTGTTCATTTGCCTTCTGTGTTCAGATTCATAACAGAATAAAAGTTCATTAAAAGCAAAGATGAAGAGGGAGAAATCATAATATGCAACATTGCAAACAAATCAATCTTTTCCAAAATGTCCAATAATATTTGTATTCCTGTGTCCTGTCATTCATTTCAGCTCCTGGTAGGAATCATCCAGGCTGCCGAGTTGCCCGCCTTAGACATGGGAGGCACATCTGATCCCTATGTGAAAGTGTTTCTGCTGCCTGATAAAAAGAAGAAATTTGAGACAAAAGTCCACAGAAAGACCCTTAATCCTGTCTTCAATGAACAATTTACTTTCAAGGTACTTTTAAAAACTTTTCTTCTCTTATTTAAGACTTACCTCATCCAGACATATCCATAGATATGCACATGACTGCTTGCTCACAAGACTCACATTTACTTAAAATTTAAATTCTTATCGTCAGTGAGGAGTCTACATTACACTTAGATTTGGTCAAAGTAGGACTCAGCTCAGCCATTTCATAATGGAATAGAGACTAGAACAGGATTTCGATGACACCTTTTCCTTTAAAAGAGGAGGTAACTTTCAAGCAAGCCAACAGACTTGAATATTTCCCCCTCTCTAAAATAGATCAAAGGAATTTCTATTATTTTTCAAAGTTCCAGAAAACAACTAGACTCTGCTATAGTCACAGAACAAGGGAAGCTCTGTTCCATTGTTTAAATGGTACAAATAGCTACCCCTCACATTGCAAAATTCTGTGTGTACAGGGCAGTTTGAACTCTAAAACCATTCTTAACCTATCAATAAAAATAATGTCAACATATTGGTTTTATACAATTCTAGCATTTTTCCTTAATACTGAGCTCTTCCCTGGTGTTCATTTTATTCAGGCATCTCAACTGACAAACAATAACAAAAAGGAACTGACCATATGATAACTCAACAGGAAAATGTGTTTGGCAGGCCTCAGGCATCTCAGCAAACACACATGTTCTAGCTCTTGTCTTGAAGTTATGTACAAAAACAGTCGTACGGTAGATATCTTTAATTTGTGAATTTTTTTAATGCATTACTTAAAATGATACATTTCTGAAAAATGAAATGTCTGGAAATGCCAGCAGGCTGATTCAGAATCACCCATTCATCAGCCAGTCTTAGCAATAACATGTGCCTAGTGTTAGCAAACATTCTGGTATGAAATAAATGGAGGAAATTGAGTTCATGAGTCATTTTCTCAAACCTAGTTTCCAGTTTTGAAAAGGAGCAGTCTATTTCTATGCGTGCTGAAATTTTTGAGGTTTTTTTTTAAAGATTTATTTATTTATACAAGAACCGGGGTACAGGCCAGATGTGCAGGAGGGTGAGAGGATTCACCAGAGACAGAGAGGGGAACAGAACAGGCAGACTGACAAAATACACTGCTGAGGGGAGCGGCAGGCGAGACAGGAGAGGTCTGTCTTGCCATGTGGGCATCTCCACAGCCAGTGGGGATCGAACCAGCACTGCAGAGGTTGTGGACAGCTTCACAGCGCTATGCTCAACTGCCTGCACTACCAGGGAGGCCCTGAAATTTTTGAGTTTTTAAGACATAAGTTCCTAATGTATAATCAGTAATCCTATTCAAGAATCTATACTTCTTATAACCAGATAGTTGATTTAGAGTAGCAATAAAAATATTCTGGAGGGGCCTCCTTGGTGGTGCAAAGGGTTAAGCACCGCACTATGAAGCAATCTGCAGCCTCTGCAGCACAAGTTCGATCCCCAGCCAGCCAGAGAGCATCCCACATGCCGAAGCAGACTTCTCCTGTCTCACTCACTGCTCCCCTCAGCAGTGTATTTCAGTCAGTCTGCCTGTTCTGTTCCCCACTCTGTCTCTGATGAATCCTTTCACCCTGTGCATCTCTGGGCTGTACCCCAGATCTTGTATGCATAAATCAATAAATCTTTAAAAAAATCATTCTGGAAATAGTTTGTTTACAAAGAACTAATCACTTTGGTCAATATACCACAGGACATAAAATATTGCAAATGTTAATTACAATCATTTTGACTATGTATTAATCTTAAGTTAGTCACTTCTAATCACAATTACATTAGTAGATTCCTAAATTATTTGAAATAATATTGTATGAGATTTGATTTTTGTCTCCAGTTACCTATATACTGTTCCTAAAAAATTGTCATGAGTTACCTGTATGCTATTTCTAAAAAATAGCTAATTTTATTAGCAATTTATGTGACTTCAAGATGTATAACTATTGAAATTGCCTGTAAACTTTGATCAATTTCCATATTATTTCAAAAAGTTTGATCAAACCATAATCCATATTACAATATACCTTGATATAGATAAGAAATTACTACTGTTTCTAGAACATTGGATAGATTCTCCATAGATATTGTAGATTCTCCAAATTGAAATACCAATAGGCAGGATGATATAGGAATGGAAGTATAGGATTAGAGCTTAAAGAGAATTACTTTTACAATTTAGTTCAAATCCATTTAATATGAACTTGACACACTCCAAAACTAAATATTGATCCTATTCTCCAAAACAAACTCCCACCTGAAAGAGTTGCTAATCATTCAAACAATAATTTTTTTATTAAGTGTGTCCTATTTGCCAACACTGTGCTAATATGCCTTATATAACACTCATTCAGACTCAAAACAGCTCTGTGAAAAAGGCACTATTAATATCACTGTGTGTTATATGAAGAAGCTGAGGGTAATTCACTTGCCCCAGATCCCTCAGCTAGAAAGTGGGAAAACCCATACCCAGGTCTGTTTGATCCAAAGCTCAAGTTTTTTGGCTGATACTGTCTCAGTACAATTATAAAAGAAAAGAAAAAAACCTAAAAAGATTGTACAAATAAGAGTTTATCCGTACTCTAAAATTTCTTCTTTGAAATTTATTTCTTTGGAAGGGCTTCTTTTACATTCTGTCTAAACTGAAGAAAAGCATGTGTCTAGTTTTTAAGCACAGTATTTTACTCAGATTTCAAATAGTTGATAAATGACAAAATATTATAACTATGAAAAAACTTAAATTTCTTGGGGCCTCCCTGGTGGCACAAGGGGTTAAGCACTGTACTATGAAGTAAGAGCAACCTCTGCAGCACGAGTTCGATCCCCAGCTGGCCAGGGAGCAACCCACATGGCAAAGCAGACCTCTCCTGTCTCACCTGCTTCTCCCCTCAGCAGTGTATTTCAGTCAGCCTGTTCTGTTCCCCACTCTGTCTCTGGTGAGTCCTCTCAACCCCCGCATCTCTGGCCTGTACCCCAGCTCTTGTATGCATAAATAAATAAATAAACCTTTAAAAGAAAAAGAAAAAACTTAAATTTCTTGTATATATAAACATTTACACAAATATACATATATATGTACACATATATACTTATATGTCCACATATATACTTATATGTATATATACATATACAAATATTCCTTCTTTTAACATAGTTAATTGAGTAATGTTTGCTGGAGCACAAGACAACTATTTATGTGGATAAAATACTGTGGTACAAGTGTATGAAAATTGATCAAATCTTCAATATAAGTCTAAATTTCCTAATTAGGCATCTCTATCCAGTTACTGAAGTGTAGCTAACCCGGACTGCACTGCTTTCCCTGCATATTAAAAATGTCACTAATAAACATCCCAACCCATAGCATCTGTCCCAGATTGATTTGAACAGCTGGAAAATTCATCAGTTCTTGGCCTTTTGCCACCACTCATCCTAAAAAGCGTCATACCCAGGAATGAACTTCAAGTTCTATATTATAATCTGCCTCTGATATTCAAAACATCAATTTTCTAGTCAATTCTTGTCAATCAGTAAATTATTTTAGGGAGTAGGTAAGGCACCTTATGAAATTCATTTAAATCCTTTCAGACTCCTAGTATATCTTTTAATAAATCACTGCTTCATTAAACTATAGTATCCAAATGGTTTTAAAGAATTAATAGAACTTTTGAAACAAGTTACCTACCACAAGTTGTAGCCTGACAACATAACTTATAAGAACAACAGAATTCTCCACATGAAAAATTTTAGAGTCAAATTCACTTGGTTTAATTCTTGCAAAGTGTTTATAGCATGACTGATAAGGGATCCATTATTTAAAATACAGCTTCCAGAATTGGGGGATAAAGTGATAAATCACTATGGCAAGTCCCCATCTTCTGCCAAGTAATTTGAATCTCAAGCATTTAATGAAATAATTTAAGGAAAAAAAATCATAATCTCTCTTCTGCTTATCTGACATAAATATTAAAAGTGAATACTATAAACAAGTTTTAAGCTTTGTTATAACCAGGTATCATATCCTCATCTCTTTTAGGTGCCATATTCAGAATTAGGAGGCAAAACCCTGGTGATGGCTGTATATGATTTTGACCGTTTCTCCAAGCATGACATTATTGGGGAATTCAAGGTCCCCATGAACACAGTGGATTTCGGTCACGTAACTGAGGAATGGCGTGATCTGCAAAGTGCTGAGAAGGAAGAGGTAAGAAAGACATTAGCATTTCCAAAATGACAAGCTGTACTCGCCATTTGCTACTCATATAATAACCTACTGAGAGATGCTCTTTATAAAGGGTGATATGGGCTTCCAGCTGATGACAGTTGGCAAAATAGGGTCAGGGGATTGCATAACCTTGTTAAAAAGCATGCAAGTCTTCTGGGCTTTGAAGAATAAAGAGTTGTGCACCAGGTCTATAGACAACTCTCTAGAGATGGACACATGGACACATGCACTAGCACGCACACACACACAATCTCTTTCCAGAAGCTTTCAAAATGTCACCCACACCCCTAATTCTTTAAAAGGACAGTGAAAAATCATCTTGCTCTTTGTATTTTTCCATCATCATTTCCATCATTTATGAAATTCATTGAAATCCTTTCAGACTCCTAGTATATCTTTTAATAAGCATCATGTATGCTTTCTACATAGGTTATATAGCTATCAAATAGAAATAATCTGGCACTGTTTCTTTGCTATTTCTGCAAAATGCAGACAGTTCATTGTTTCTCATGAAGCTTTCAGACCATGATGGGTAAAACATCAAATATAATTCACAATGGTTGAAATTAAATCCATTTTTTAAATGACTCACATTTTTATAGTATTCTTCAAATTGTATTGTCTGCTTTTAATAGTTTAGCCTGGGATTTTTCTGTGATTTAAAAAGGGGAGTTCAATATCCTTAGTACATTTTAAATACATAAAAATCAATTCTATTTGATTATGCTATGCATGCCTGGTACAAGTGTTTTTCTCTGTGAATGTCTCAACAGACCAATACCAGAAAAGCAAACAACTCTTAGCTTTTCCAAATTCCTAATGCAACTCTTTTCCCTTTCATTTTTGGGGTTCTGGTATACAAGAATAATTACCCAAATGATTGCCACCGACCTCAGTTTTAGGAATTTTAGGTCCCTGGGATTCTGGAAGTTGTGTCTCATTGGGCCACCAGGGAAATCAGTGGGCAGTCTTCAAAAAAACTGCCAAGTCCGTCACCTAGGGGCCCCTCTTGACCTAAGGTTTTCAGAGGTGAGGCTTTTAGAATAGGCTTGTTGATTGCTACACTGAAAGTGAGTTTTATCAGTGATCTAAAATTATCTGGTCATACAAAAGGAGTCAAATTGAGTTGAACTCTGCTTTCTTTTTGGAAACAAATATACATAACCAAAAGGTTAGTCAAGTTTACGTTCTTAGATATCGAGATACATTTCACCATAGTGTAGGCTTTCAAGAACAATCCAAAGCTATTACATTTTTAAATTTTAGGGGTTTTATAAGTAGTTCTTTCTGATGAATAAACTAATATTGACATGAATTTCAACATCTGTATGAAGAGAAACAGCAATCCTCCTATCATACTTCCTTCTTTCAAGGAAAGAAAGTTACTTTGAAAGTTACTAAGACCTCTTCCTAAGGCCTTTGTCACTCAACTCAAAGATATGCATTTGCAAATATTTATTACACATGGTATACTCCTGGAACTGTGCTAACTGTTTGAAAAAGAAGAGTGTAAAGAGGAAACAGTGCTTCTGCTTTTTGGAGTTGAATGTTGTCTCGTTTTCCTCCTCACTCCAATTTCTGTTTTGCTTCTTGTTAACTAGACTGGTTTCTGAAAGGGGTAAAAAGTCAATTTTTAAAAGCTGTTTTTAAAATCAAATACACTTGAATTTCAATTCTTACCAATCCATTTATTTTATCAGAGACCTTGAACAAGTCACTTAATCTCTCCACAATTCAGTTTATAAATATAGAAACCTGACTAAATAGGAGTATAGATTGAATAGGACAGATTAAATAATTATAATATAGAAAAAACTGTCTAAAATCTTTACACAAAAATTAGTATACTAAAGACATAAAAGAGGGAACGGTATAAGAAAGAAATGGTGAGGATGTTCAATGTTTAAGATTAAAACATAATATATGAAGATATAAAGATAAGTATTTTTAAGCCATGGTAAATAAAATTTCAGTCTAAAATTGTGTTATTTTCATAAGATATTTGTGATTTTTTTTCTTTCAATTCTTATCTTAGGGAAAATGTTTATCCTCCTTTACAGCCAACAGAAATGTGACTCATGTTTCACCTTGTATATCACTGATAACATGTATTACCATGACTCACATTTTACCTTCTGAAAACAGTAATAAATAGGATAATGTAAAACACCTGGCATAGACTATGGTACGTGACAAGCACCCAATGAGCAAGATATTTACTATTCTCTCTTCTTGACCAATGTTTTTATTTTCCTGTTTACTCTGCTCTTTTCTATCTGTATCTACTTCTCTCTTCTTTTTCTATCACCACTGTGTTTATTAAATGCCTTTGGAAGTTTTTAATAGGAAATTATTTTTTTAAAGATTTGTTTATTTATGCATACAAGAACTGGGGTGCAGGCCAGAGGTGTGGGCGTGGTAAGAGGATTCACCAGAGACAGAGTGGGGAATAGCACAGGCAGACTGACTGAAATACACTGCTGAGGGGAGCAGTGGTGAGACAGGAGAGGTTTGCTACGCCATGTGGGTCACCTCCTTGCCTGGGATCGATTTTGTGGTGCAGTAGGTGCGGATAGCTTCATAGTGCTGACGCTTAACCCTTTGCACCACGAGGGAGGCCCACAGAAATAATTTAACTATGACAGCTTTTAACTGGAGTCTTTCCTTTTTGATATCTACTCAAGAATGGTAATTTGGAGTTTTCAGTTGAGTGACTATTTCCTTTTATCAACAAATAAGAAACCTCATAAAACAGATGGTTAGCTTGCATATTATCTCTGGATGACTAGACCCAGGTAGAAACTTTCTCAAAATAAATGAAGTAAGATTCCAGTTTGTATCAGAATAATTACTTATTCTCACTGATATGTCTCTATCCTTTCATGCTACTGTCCATTAACTGCAGAAAATTATAGTTGTGTGAATAAATTGAAAATAGATTGACTTTATTTCATATCATTTTAAAGAAATTGTTTTTCTATTTTGCATGAGCAGTTCTATTCATGATTTTAGTTTTTCTTTTACCTAATAGTGGTATATGTTTTTTTAAATGTCATAATAAATAGAAGATACCAAGGAAAGTGAGGAAAAAATTCAAGATCAACTTTGTTACCTAGGAATGAAACCACTATTCACTGCAATCTGTTCAGGTAGAGGCTTGGTTTTAAGTGGGTTAAATTTAACCCCCTGAGATCCAACCCAGCAATTTTAACAGAAGAGAGCGGGGTTTTGTTGCCAAAAATACAAAAGTCAAAAAATGATTAAGCAATTACATAAGTTAATGAATTATGACTTATTTTAGTGGTAAGTCGTATGAGCAAGAGATTTAGGAAAAAAACAAATGGGCAGGAACCCTATCTGAAAGTTACTAAGCACATGTTTAAAAGTGGTATAGAAGAGCTAATGCAGGAATCGCCCTGCTAAGCACACAGCTCCCACTGTGAGATTCTAGTCTTTGGTGAAAACATCTTTGGTGAGGTTTCCATTCTGATTAAATTCGCTTAATAAACATCCTCAAAGTCAACTTACTGATTTATATTCACTTGTTATTTTTTAAATGTTGCACAATTGACCACTCTCTCCTTCCCCCTCCTAATAGATGAAGATAGACTATGACCTTGGGGACAGCTAAACCTTTCTGTTCCTTTTATTTCTTTAAAACAGAAATATACATCCTCTGCATTTCAAAGTTGGTTACATATAAAACTGTTTTCTTTTATTTTCCCTTTTTAAATATAGGACCTCAAAAAGTATCCCTTCTAATTAGCATATACTATTCTCCATATGCAAAAATTCCTGATATATATATACATAACTTCAGGCTATCTTAGTTGAATTTGAGATTTTCTTCTTTTTAATCATTCAAAAGACTTTATGCCACTCACTAGTCGAACCTGAAACCAGACTTCCTACTGGTAGAATAGTCTGACTGGTAGAATGATATAACTCCCATTTTCTCTTAATAAATTTTATGCTCATTTAAAAAAGTGTTTCAGGCCTGCTCCGTAGCATCAGCTACATCTTTAAAACATTTAGACCTTTCCTATTTTGGTAGTTTGTTCCTACTTAAAATTGTTCATCCCCATGTTTCCACTTCTACTTCTTATATCTAATGAGCATAAGAAACAGATACCACAGTATAGCTGAGTTACTGTTTTGCCATGTCTGTCACGTGACTTGACACGTAATGTTTTCTCTCCAATAAGGAATGTCTATCATCTGTTTTGCATAGAATTTGTTAAAGATTCTGTAAATAAGATTCTGTAATCCAGTGCAGATGGAAAAAAATTGATTGCTGAATTAAAACAAGTTGGAGCATAATTTAATTAGTACCCAATCAGAAGGGAAAAGAAACTACTTTAGTGCCTTAATAGGAAATCAATTTTGCAAGAAAAAAAATCACATTTTTTAACCTAATTAGAAAAATATTTACTTCACAGGAAAGCATTTAGAGAATACATATTCAATCAAATGGGGAAAGTATTTTTTCTTCCATGGTCAATTCCTTGAAGTTCCTCTGGAATGAGTTAAGGCCATTGTTCCTCATGGCATCTTGATATCCAAGGATCATGAAAGAACTGATGTGTTTCTAAGTATACTTAGTAGTCAGATGGTAGTTCATGCTCTCTGAGAATCTCTGTACAACAAAGTAATGACCTGAATAGAAATTCTTGCAAAACGTTAAGTGCTAGCACTATAAACATGGATAGTTAAAAGAATCTTCGTGTCATTCAATATATCACACTACTGAAATGCAACAATTTTGAGCCATAGCATCACAAGGAAGTATACTTATTTGTATAGATTTATTTGTTTATTGTCTATCTTCCCAACTAGCCTGTAAATTCCATCCCAGCAGCAGCCATTTCAATTGTACCCCACTGTGAAACCAAGTTTGATCACCGAGGCAAGCAGCAAACATGCAAAAATATCTCTGAATAAATGAATGAGGAGAGGTTATTTATTTCATGAGAAATATT